ATTTAAATTATGAGGTTGAGTTTGAAGAAAATGAGGACTTTGACGTTCTAAAGTGGTGGAAGTCAAAAGAAAGAATGTTCCCGATTTTTAGCACGGATGGCTAAGCAAGTGCTATCAATGCTGGTTTTAACAGTTGTCGTGGAACAAGAATTTAGTTCGGCCGGCAACGTTCTAACGGCATCTAGAACGAGTTTGAGCACATCGTCTCTTGAGACGCTTATATGTTACCACGATTGGTTAAAGGCCATACGTAGAACTCAAGAAATTAGCATCACCCCCTCCTAAGACTTTATGGATGAATCAACCGAGGGTGGCTCTACCTATGCCGGAGATTCCTATTGATTAATATTTTACAATTTATTATAAAATGTATTTCATGTTTTAATTTTCCCCTCAATTCTCTATTGTAATTTGTAAATTTGTAATTCATATTTCAAATAAATATATGCTCATTTTTTTTTAATATGTAGCACTTCTCAAATTAATTAATGAGTTTTGCTAGAGGTACACAAAATGTAGCATTTTTCTTAATTAATTGGTTACAACTTAGATTTAATTATATTATTATTTATTAGAAAATGTATTTCATATTGTATTTTTGTTCTCAATTCTCAAATGTAATTCCTATTTCACATAAATGCACTTGAAGCTTGTTTTTAATATCCAAAAATTGTATAAATAAGTAGAAAAGGGAAAAAAATATCGGCCCGACCTGACCCGGAACCCGGGCGGGTGACCCAGCCCGAACCGGCACCGACCTTAGTACAGGCCGGGCTCGGGCCTGCTACCAAAGTTCCAAGGCCCGGCCTGGGCCCGACCCGAGTCTAGGCCTATTCAAACGAGATGCAATTAATAAGTTATAAATTATTTTCAATTGTATATACACATATTGTGATAATGATAGAATAATGTATATATTATTTAAAAAAAATTAAAGATACAAAATTACAAAGTATATTTTTTCCCTAATAAACAACATTTAAAGTCTTCTACAACAAAAAAAACGTTTAAAGTCATCATCAAATGTCTTTTTTAAAAGACAATTACCGTAATTTATTCAAAAAGAGGAAACGGATAAAGACGATTACATGTGGGGGCTAGACAGTCATCATAAAATGTAATAAACCTCTATAGTTGGAATAAATAAGCAACAACGGTAACTTAATGAGGTAAGGGTCAGATTGGTACTCGAAATTGCATGAAAAGTGTCAAATAAGTCCTTACTTTCAAGCCGTCGCCATTTGAGACGGTTCCCAGTGGAATTTTTTGATGAATTGTTTTGAGCATCTTATTCAATAAGTCTAGTTTACTCATACCAAATTTCAGCTAACACTTTCATCGGGAAAGCATTCAAATGAATTCTTGAAGATAACTGCGCTTTTAACTGCGCAGTTATCTTCAAGAATTCATTTGAATGCCATCCTGGTTGAATTTTTAGCATAAATTTGATATAAGTAAACTAGACTTAATGAATAAGATGCTCAAAAAAGTTTTTCAAAAAATTGAAATCACCCCAAATGGCGACAGCTGGATAGAGCCTCCTATATAAGGACTTATTTGACCCTTTTTTATTTCAAAAATGCTTCTTGTACACACATTAGTACACACCCTTATACACACTATAAAAGGACTTTATTTTTTTTACCTCCATCCCATTTTTTTACCCTTTCTCTTCTCACCCCATTCTCTCACATCCCTTCTCCCCTACGCCCTGCTCTGCTCACCCCCCTTCTCTCATTCTTCTTTTTACTTCCTTCTCATTCCACTTTGATTCTCCCTTTCCAAATCCTAGAAAAAAACTTTTAGGTGGTCACCTCTCTTCAAATCCGAGCCCATAAGCGGCGAGTATGCACCTGGAAGTCGAGAATGAGACCGATGATTTTCCCCATCAACCAGCCCACAAATTGAGGTAATACCCTATTCGATTTTTCTATTGCACTTTAGGGTTTTGTTTATTTAAAATATATGATGATTTGTGTGTAAACATTGATTTGTTGAATATTTTGTATTATTGTAAGAGAATGTAGGGTTAACTATTGAAATTTTTAATTCAATTACTCTATTTCACAAGTATGCACATAACATGTTTGTTGAAATTACTCAATGATTTTCTTTTGTTTAAATCCAAGTCTTTTACTCTCCTTTTTTTTGTGACTGGTCTTTTTTGTTAATTAGTTCAAGATTCTAATTTTCTTGTTTCCCAATTTGATTAATGATATAGTTGTTTTTATTGACTATTATATTTGCCTATTATGCTTTTACTAGTTATAAAAAAATATGTTTTTACTAGTTTTTTGTTGCAGGTTGCTTCAAATAAGTTGAAGAGAGAGTGGCTGGAATTTTGCATTTTTGTAGATATGTAATAACCAATCTCTGGAGACCTTTCTAAGTAGCAGTAGTTGTCATATGCTTCCTGTTTTTAGGACCTTGTGAACCCAAATTAAAATACTAGAGTATAACCTGAATAGACTACAAATACTATGAACATTTGAATAGACTGGATTACCAGTTAGAAATCACTAATAATTGTCAAGTTGATCTTTGTGTGGGGTTACTTTATTGTCATAACCTTTTAACAATCAGTTACATACGTGTAGTTATTAAAAAAAATAAAAATATTTGTACCTTAACACTATTTATGAAGTGGATAGAACCAATTTATCATCTAAACTCTAAAATTTTTAAATTGGAAACATGTTCAAGGATTAAAACACTTGAAGCATGTATGTTTTATCTCATATTAAATGTATGAAAATTTCGAATATTGGACGTTACTTTACTCATGAAATATATTTTGCAGGTCTGATTGTTGATCAAATATTCAAATTGTTGATTTAACATTTAAGCCCAAGTTTGAGACGGTGAGATAGGATGAAGCAGTGAATGGAACTACGGAAATGTTATTGCTATTAATCTTGTCACTGATCTTTTGTATTGGACATGTATTAGTATTTAGTGATGTTGGGTTGGATAAGTGAAGTGTTAGTAATTGTATGGATGCAATAAAAAGTGTCTTGTAATTGTAAGTTGTTTTGTTTGGCTGCAGTGGTGTCTGTGAACCATATATGAATTGTCTGGTCACAGGCAATAGTCACTTAAATAAACTAATAAGTTGAGAGGAATTGTGTTTGAACCAGATATGAAGTGACTTCTCATAATTTTCTATCCCAATTGAAATTCTGAGAAAGTGTATGTCTCCATTTATATTGTCTGTGTTTTTATATATTATCTTTGTGTGATTAAAACATTGTTGGTGTATTCATTATGTGTGTTCGTTTATTTTGTCTATGTAGAATATAATATAATTGTCTGTGTGTTTATTTATATTGTGTGTGCGTGGTGAAAACGTTGTTAGTGTGTTTATTTATTTTATTTGTGGATGAAAAATAAAGGTTTTTTCACAAATATTACCAAAAAATAATTAATGGACAAAAATATTACTCTGTATATAGTTACTATGCAAGTCAATATAGTGGTATAGTTGAACACAATCATGGTAACTAAAGTTACTATGGTAGTCACTAAGTCATGTTTTTGTCCACTACTTTTGTTTCGATCATATATTTGCCATTATTTCTAAAAAATAATTGTAATTTATAAATTTTAGAGTGCAATTTGTTTATAATATTTGAGTGTATATTCAATGTTTGTATTCCACTTTTATTTTGATTTAAATTAGACTTGTATTGTTTGGGTTTTCAAAGTGTATCTTTTGTATCCAGAGAATGACTTTGGATGTTGTCAAGGTAATTTGTCTATGTTCAGATAAAATAAATGAACACACAGACAATTGTTGTCTATGTAGTTACAAAATAAATGAACAAATAAACAATATTTTAACCATTTACAAACAATAAAGCGAAGACATAGAAGATGTTTTGACTATATACAGACAAAATAATTGTACACACAATATAAACATAAACGATATTTCGACTATGCACTAGGGCTGGGTCCGAAAAACCGAAAACCGAAAACCGAATCAAATTAAACCGAACCGCAACCAAATAAAACTGAACCGCTAAGAAACCGAAACCGAATATAAAAAACCGAACCGAACCGAAGTTGTTTGGTTCGGTTTTGGTTTTTACCCTTCAAAACCGAACCGAACCGAACAAACCGAACTATTTAAAATATAAAATTTATATATTAATTGTTAAGCATTAATTCTAATTAATCTTAATATCATCAGTAGTCCTTGGTTTTCTTGTGCTGGAGAAATAATGTTTGTGTTATGTTTAATTTAATTTAGTTTATAAATTCATTTACATATTCATTGTCTGTAATAATGTAGCAAATTGAATAATGATAATATGTGTTTACTAGTTATTAGTAGTAATTAACTTTTATTTTTAGATAACTTGAAGATTTTATATTGATAAAACAATAAATATTCATCTCAACTATATCACATAGAACGTATATATTCATGAATCAATACTCCGTAATATATAAAGTTTTATCTATCCCGCATACTCATATAATTCAAGACATATTTATCTATCCTCATTTTTATTTTATTTGTTGTTGTATTGTGCTTGCATTCTTTATGTAATATGTTTGATCCCTCTAAGTATTATATCAATTTTAAATCAAGTGAGAATTTTTTGGTGAAAAACCGAAAAAACCGAAACCGAACCGAAACAAACTGAACCAATCAAACCGTGGTTCCAAGTTTGGGATTGTAAAACCGAGCCGAAACCGAACCGAACTTTTTACTTCGATTCTATATTTGGTTTTTGGTCAAAACCGAACCGCAAGAACCGAACCCACCCCTACTATGCACAAACAAAATAAACCTTCACACAAACAATTATTGTCTACACAAAGACAAAATAACTAAACACATAAATATTTGTTTTACCACGCACAAACATTATAAACGAAGACACAACACAATGATTGAACTATGTACAGACAAAATAAACCAACACACAGACAATGCTTCAACCACACACAGACAATAAAATGATTCATAACCATGCCCAAGCAACTCATATGGACATTTCAGATATAATTACCAAATAAATATGGTTGGAAACTAACTTTCAAGCTTATATATACAAGTATTAAAGGTCAGAAATGGCTTTCATCTGAAGTGCCTACAGTTTAGAATAAAACTCAGTTTAACTTTACGAAATTGGAGAAATGCCATAAACCAAAGGATAATTTTGGGGGACATCTTGGCTAAGAAGAATTCTAATATTACTTTACAAAGTGACTATTACAACAACTAATTTAATAGAGTTAAACAACATATATAATGTTCTTAATGTCATCGTATCATCTGATCGCCACTTCTTGACCAAGCTGCAAGGAGTCATTCGGATGAAGAGATTTAAACTGGAAAAAGAAATTTAATATCAATTAAATATGAAAGCACACTATAACACACAAAAATTAATAAAAGAATGTTATCCATAATTGTCTTAGTATTTTATATTCATGTTTCTAATATTCAACAAATATTCATTGCAACCTTTTTACAAACAATTAATGTGCAAGAAAATAGAATAGAATGCTTAAACTATAAACTCAATAACCAACTTGACAAACTAAAAAATGAGAAGCAAGTAGGTAAATAAACAACTTCACAAGCATAAATTAAGCATAAAAATAGAGTTAAAAAGCTAAATAAAATTCATAACAATAAAATAAAACAGTCTAAGAAGTTAACAAAAGATGAAAATGAACACACAAATAGTGGATACGAATAACAAATTTATTGAGTCATTTCTACAAATATCTTTTGGACATAAAGTGAAATAGAATAGTTTGAATTAAAACTTTAATAATAAGCATCACAAATCTATAACAATATATCTATGTAATCAAGCATTCAACATTAACATACATTATATACATAAAATAAAAAAAAAACAAATATAATCCTAAATGTATAAAGAACACAATGATCAAGGTAGAGAAAAATATAGGCTGAAATTTACATTCAAAACTGCTGCTTGTTGGAAAAATGAAGTAGATCAATCATCTTTATCTCTTTCGTCTGCATGATTTCGAGCTTAGGTGGAGGAAAAAATGGGGGAGGGGAAGGGGGGGGGGGGGGGAGAAGAATGGCGTAGAAGATGGAAGGGTGAAAGAGGAGAGAAAGGGCGTACAAAAAGGTGGGGGAGAGAGGAGAGATGGGGGAAGAGGTAAATGGGGTGAATGGGGGTAATTATTTTTGGGAGTATATATAGTGGGTATATGGTATGTATTAAAATGTGTACAAAGAGCATTACTCTTTTTATTTAACTTCAAGTACCAATGTGACCCTTATCTCGTAACTAGGGCTGGACTCGGTTCGGGCCGGGCCCGGTTCGGGCCTTGAACCGGCCGGTCCTCGGTTCACCAAAAGGAGGGCCCGGGCCCGAACCGGCGTTGACCGGTTCCGGGCCAGACCGGGCCGGTTCACCCAACCTATTTTTTTTTTAATTTTTTGGCTTCTCTTATTTAACCCTCTACCCCTCCCCCTCAACCCCAAACCACCTCAAATTGTCCAAAATACCTAATCCAACCCAAAAATTAAAAAAATTTCAAAAAAAAATAAAAAAAAAAAATTAATTCCGGTCCGGACCGGGCCCGAACCGGCCGGGCCGGTTCACCAAATGGAGGGCCCGGGCCCGGAACCAGTATTCACCGGGCCGGTTCGACCCGAACCGCCGGTGGACCGGGCCACCGGGCCGGGCCGGTTGCTACAGTGGGCAGGCCGGGCCGGTTCCGGGTCGGGCCGCCCGGCCCGAGTCCAGCCCTACTCGTAACTTAATTCTCTACTTAATTGCGTTAAAACTAATTTTTCCCAATGTAATTTTGATTTTGTAAACAACACTTTCACTCCTTGTGAAACCAGTTTTCTTGCATCTAAACGACTAAAAGTCTAAAACTCTGTTGTGCCAAGTTTCAATTCTTCTATAGCGATATGGCTCCCAATTTAACTCACCTCCCACAACTTCCAAATCTTACACTACCCACCTCACTCACTTGGTGTCTTGGTGACCTTTTGTCCCATATATTTAAGCTTCCAATGGAATATAACCAATACATGTAACTATTGGACCAAAGTACAAAACTATACAAAGTATTACATAGAGCCACAAGATTAATCAAAATAATTGGCTACTCCCCAAATTTATGAAAATCAAATGCATGACCTTTTTCTTATAGAGTTATAGACATCAACGGTATAAATTTATATAAAGGATACATTTCCATTTTCCAGTACTTTTTTAACACAATGTATCTATTCATCCATTTCAATGACAACTTTAGAGCTCAACCAAATTTACATGTACCAAACAGACCAATGAAGATGCCTAATTTGTTTCATGCATGAAATCTAAAGACAGACAAAAATGTGAAATCCTTTCCCACACCACTAACTATGCATTAACCATTTAAGCAAATGCAAAATGAAACAGTCATTTTTGACCTTTTACCTGCTTCCATTTGAAGTAAAAAATCTACAACCCTCCAAGGAAATAGCCTAAACTGGAGGGAAAATATAATCTAAATCAGCTTTTCATATGAGAAAATTGCTTCATTATTGGTAGTAACAAAACCCCAATGGGTACCCCCAATGGCATGAGACTGAACCAAATAAGCCGAGAATTTGTTGTCTCGCTCAGTGTCCGCATCTCTGCAAAACCATAAGAGAAGTTTTTGCCAGGGGAAAAGCTAGATGGTTAAATAAGGTTATAATTTCATAAGGAAAGATGGTAATGGGATTACATAACTGGATGATAAATTACCTGCTCTCTATAAATAATAGATTTTCATGTATGGCCTTTACTGCGCCTTCAAGCTTTCTCAGCTCAAGTTCAATACCCTATTGAATGCCAAAATATAAAGTGATGAACGAACAACACAATTATTGAGTGTTATTGCTTGTCTACTGGTTTTGAGTGTACGAGATTTCCTATTGGATCCAATTTAACATGAAAAGGGCTTGGTCCAAAGGAGTTTTGCGGAAAGCCCACACATTCAATGGTTTAGTAAAGCCCATATAGGCCTGTTTGAGCCCATTTGTCTACCCTCTACTCTAACATACAGGTTTAATGTTGAAAATGCTGAGAATGCAACAATCATATCATTCAAAGAACTATACTACCCTACCCTGACACATTTTAAAACGCTTCATTTCATATAGACAATGTCCCCTCACTTTATTCTTAAAATCAAATGCATAAATGTGGTGTGTATGCACACAAATTGTATGACATGTGCAAGATCTAAGATCAATGATCTGGCATTTGGAACCCTCATTCTTTTCATTTGACATTTGTACCAAGTACAATGTAAGAGAGTATGAGGCAATAAACAATGAAAGTCTTAACAAAAGGTCCTTCAAACTAAATAACTTTTTTTTGTATCTTTAATGAAGAATTCACAGAAAGCATTTGGTTACATAATCCATCCGACAGAATGCATGTAAACTAAATGTGCAAGGTGTTGGAATAAAGGAGTTTATGAGAATTGTATTTAGGTGATTGTGAGTGGAAGAGAGAATTTTAGAGAGAGATGATTTTGGAAGAACTTGAAACTTTTATTGATTTGAAGCTTTGACTTGCATTACAAATGAGTGAGGAGTGCTCTATTTATAGGTCTCTTAGGATCCTTCTAGGCACTCCTATGTCTTTAACATTCTACACTATTCCATAGGATTCTAGCTTAGGAATATTCTAGAATCATTTAATAAGTACATTAACTAAAGAGTACTCTAGACCTTTCTTTACTAACTCTAACTTATGGGCTAACTAATTTATTATTTCTCATACAACTACTAGCCCAATAAGTTAACTTCTAATGGACCCAATGATTGGGCTAAGCCAAGTTTAATTTCTAACATCCCCTCTTAAACTTGACTTAGCAACACCAAGTAGATCCCGCATCTTTGCAAAGACATCATGCATGAGTGGCTTTGTGAGAATATCAGCGACTTGGTCTTGAGTCTTCACATACTCTACTTGAACTTCCTTCTTCGCTATCTTTCCCCGAATGAAATGATATCGAGTGTCTATGTGCTTACTTCGATCATGAAAAACTGGATTCTTTGCTAATGCGATAGCTGACTTGTTGTCCACGAATATTGTTGTTGCTTCTTCTTGAGACATGCTGAGAGCTTGCAATATGTACCTGAGCCAAATTGCATGACAAACACTTGATGTTGCTGCAACGTACTCGGCTTCACAAGTGGACAGAGTGACTATCGATTGCTTCTTTGAAACCCATGTGAAAGCGGTGTTTCCCAGGTAAAACACGAACCCAGTTGTGCTCTTGCGGTCATCGATATCTCCACCCCAATCACTATCGCAATATCCAACCAGCTTAAACTCATCAGATGAAGAGTAAAACAACCCATATTCGGCGGTGCCTTTGAGATATCGCAAAATTCTTTTTGCCGCCTTCAAATGAGTTGTTGTAGGGGCCTCCATGAATCGACTAACAAGTCCAACACCAAAGAGAATATCCGGTCTTGTACATGTTAAGTATCTTAAGCTCCCCACAAGACTCTTAAAGTAAGTTGGATCAATCAATTTTCCTTTATCATACCTTGATAGCTTTAGTCCACTTTCAACAGGTGTACTTACAGGTTTGGAGTCCTCCATGTTGAACTTCTTGAGTACTTCTGTCGCGTATCCTTCTTGAGTGATGAATATACCATCATATATTTGCTTCACCTCGATGCCAAGATAGTAACTCATAAGCCCAATGTCAGTCATCTCGAATTCCCTTGTCATGACTTGTTTAAACTCATCGAACATCGTCATGTTATTACCTGTAAAGATGAGATCGTCCACGTATATGCACACGAGCAATATGTCTCCTTGATGATTTTTCTTTACATATAGTGCATGTTCTTGTGGACACTTCACGAATCCATTAGCTTGGAAGTACTGGTCAATTCTACTATTCCAAGCTCTTGGTGCTTGTTTAAGCCCATAAAGAGCCTTTCTTAGCCTCAACACTTTATCTTCTTGCCCTTTGACTTTGTAACCTTCGGGTTGCTCAATGTAGACTTCTTCTTTTAGGAACCCATTTAAGAATGCGGACTTGACATCCATTTGATGTATCTTCCACTTGTTGTGAGCCGCGAGTGCAATTATCAATCTTATTGTTTCCAATCTAGCAACGGGCGCAAATACTTCTTCATAATCAATGCCATGTCTTTGGGCGTAGCCTTTGGCCACTAGTCTTGCTTTGTACTTCTCAACCTCCCCTTTTGCATTTTTCTTGATCTTAAATACCCACTTCACTCCAATTGCTTTATGATTTGATGGAAGTGTGGCTAGCTCCCATGTTTTGTTCTTCACAATGGACTTAATCTCATCATCCATTGCATCTCTCCACTTCTTGTTTCTTGTGGCTTCTTCAAAACATAGTGGCTCGCAATCACCAAATAGACAAAAGAGTGTAAGTTCATCATTTGAGTTTAGGTTTTGTGTTACCTCGTAAAGCTCTTCAATGCTTCTCATGCGTGGTACTTCTCTTTCATCTGAACTTGGTGGTGAAGATTGATCTTGAGTGGGAGATGGTGGAGGAGTTATATTTTCATTATTCTCTTCAACTTCTTCTTCACATTCCATGGATGGTAAGAGGCTATAATCTTCTTTGTCGCCAATGCTCCAATTCCATGAACCTTCTTCATCAAACTCCACATCACGACTTATTATAAGCTTCTTCGAATCCGGATTGTAGAGTTTGTACCCTTTTGAGTGTTTGTGATATCCAATGAATATGAACTTCTCGCTCTTGTCATCGAATTTTGATCTAGTCTGATCAGGAACATGAGCATATGCAATGCATCCAAATACTTTCAAGTGCGAGACTCCGGGTTTACCTCCATGCCATGCTTCTTGTGGAGTTATTCCATCTAGACTCTTTGTGGGGCAGCGATTTTGAAGATAGACGGCACAATCCACAGCTTCAGCCCAAAATTCTTTAGGCATATTCTTCGTCTTTAGCATGCTTCGGGCCATGTTGAGGATAGTCCTATTCTTTCTTTCGGCAACACCATTTTGTTGTGGTGTGCGTGGGACAGTCATGGGACGGCGAATGCCGTTATCTTCACAAAATTGATTGAACTCCTTTGATGTGAACTCTCCACCCCGATCTGATCTCATGGCTTTAATAACGTACCCACTTTCTTTCTCAATAAGAGCTTTAAATTTCTTGAATGTTTCAAAAGCCTCTGATTTTTGTTTAAGAAAATATACCCATGTTTTCCTTGAGTAATCATCGATGAAAGTGAGAAAGTACTTACTTTTACCATGAGAACATGGAGTAATAGGACCGCATAAGTCGGTATGGATTAACTCCAATGGCTCCTTAGCTCTTGAGGTAACTTCTTTAGGGAATGGTTTCCTTGATTGCTTCCCAAGTAGGCATCCTTCGCATAGCTGATCGGGATGATTGATGAAGGGCAAACCTTTCACCATGCCTTTGGACGATAGCATTTTCAAGCCACCAAAGTTTAAGTGCCCATATCTTAAGTGCCAAATCCATGACTCATCTTTCAAGCAACTTTTCAAGCATATAGTTTGATCTCTTTGAATATCAAGCAAGAACATTCGGTTTCTAGTCATCGGCACTTTAGCAACTAGTCTCCCATTATGGTCTCGTAGAGAAAGACTACGATTCTTTAAGTGAATATCATAGTCCTTTTCTAAGAGTTGTCCCATACTTAAAATGTTTGTTTTTAAGTTGGGCACATAGTAAACATCGGAAATGAATTGATGACTTCCATCGTTTAGGCGGATTAGAACGTTACCTTTACCATTCACCATGACTTTCGATTCATCTCCAAAGGTAACATGACCTTGAGTATGTTCCACCTTCACGAACAAGCTTTTATCTCCCGTCATGTGGTTGCTAGCTCCGGTATCTAAATACCATGTGCTCTTCTTCGCTTGTTCTTCATGATTTGCCATCAACAAGGTAAGTTCTACCTCGTTATTCATCTCCATGAGATGTGCCTCTTCTTTAACATGATGAGAGTTCTTGCATTCATATGCATAGTGACCATATTTATTGCAATTATGACATCTTAGTTGATACTTGTCGTACCTTTGTGGTTTGCTTCCTCTCCCACGGCCTCTAGATGCTTGTGTATATTGAGTTCTTTCTTCATTGTTGAATTTTGTATAACCACGACCTCGACCACCTCTTCCACGTGCACCACGTCCTCGATCATAACCACGACCTCGTTGGCCTCTTTCTTCACCTCTATTCTCCCCTTTCTTTAAAAGAGAGTTTGGAGTAAAGAGAATGCTCCAATGATTCATCAGATTTATTTCTCACAACTCTTTCTTCATGGACTTGTAGTGAGCCCATAAGTTGATCAATGGTCATGGTCTCTAAATCCTTGGACTCTTCTATGGCCACCACAATATAATCATAGTCTTTGGTGAGAGAGCGAAGGATTTTCTCAATCACCGTTATGTCCTTTAGTTCCTCCCCATTTCTCTTCATCTCATTTACAATTCCCAACACTCTAGAGAAATAATCGGATATTGATTCCGAATATTTCATTTTAAGTTGTTCGAACTCACCTCTAAGATTTTGAAGACGAATTCTCTTCACCTTGTCGACTCCCTTGAAAGAATTATGAAGTATTTCCCATGCTTCTTTAGAAGTGGTGGCATTTGCAACCTTCTCGAACATGGCCTCGTCTAAGCATTGATATATGAGAGTGAGAGCTTGTTGATCCTTCCTCCTACTCCTTTGGAGACTATCCCTTTGGGATTGATTTAAAGTAGCATCATCTTGAGGTTCCTCATAACCTTTCTCAACAATCTCCCATGCATCTTGAGATCCTAGCAAGGCTTTCATGCGAATGCACCAACTAGAGTAGTTATCTTTGGTGAGACGAGGAAATTGGAAGGGGAGTAAGCCGTTGGCATTCATCTTTCGTGAAAGGATTGATGGCTCTGATACCACTTTGTTGGAATAAAGGAGTTTATGAGAATTGTATTTAGGTGATTGTGAGTGGAAGAGAGAATTTTAGAGAGATGATTTTGGAAGAACTTGAAACTTTTATTGATTTGAAGCTTTGACTTGCATTACAAATGAGTGAGGAGTGCTCTATTTATAGGTCTCTTAGGATCCTTCTAGGCACTCCTATGTCTTTAACATTCTACACTATTCCATAGGATTCTAGCTTAGGAATATTCTAGAATCATTTAATAAGTACATTAACTAAAGAGTACTCTAGACCTTTCTTTACTAACTCTAACTTATGGGCTAACTAATTTATTATTTCTCATACAACTACTAGCCCAATAAGTTAACTTCTAATGGACCCAATGATTGGGCTAAGCCAAGTTTAATTTCTAACAAAGGCACCTATTGTCAAGCCTTGATCCTCACAAGCCACGGGGGAAGCTGGGAGAGAACACTTTTACTTTAATTTTGTTTTCAAATTTATCATCATGGCCAAACCTCATCATTTCCAAATCAGTGGATTATTATCAATAAAGATTTAGAGTATGATTGTATTGCAAAATCTAAAATAAGAGGGGTACATAAATAAAATAGGAAGTTACTGTGGGCATAGTTTGCGTATCATAAACGCATAAGATAGTATGTAGTATAAAATATAGGGGAAAATAATTTAAATACCCCAAACTTTGATGGGGTGTGAGATAAGTATCGCAAACTTGCACATGTGATATATGTACCCCAAACTTTATATAATATAAAAAGTTATATTAGCATCATTTATTTTTTCACAAATGTAATTTTATAGTGTTAAGTACATAATTTAAAATACACAAAACATTTATGAGGATGCAATTAAAATTAAACTGTATCGGATGTGATATTATTTATTTCACAAATGAAATTTTAGAATGTTAACTAGATTCTAACAAAGCTTAGAGTATTTTAAATTATTTAATTATTCCAATAAACTTGTATTTGTAAAAGAACATACAATCATGGTATGAAAATAACTTTTTATACGGGGGATTAAGTTTGGGGTATATATATTAAGTTCGGGGTATCAAGGTTGTTAAACTCGAGATCCTAGCACGGATCGGACGGGGTCTAGGAGATCGTAACTCGGTGATCGTAACTCGGATCGTAAGATCCTACAATGAAATATATACACACATAATATATATATATATATATATATATATATATTATGTGTATATATATATATATATTCACATGTATATACAATTCAATTCTATGTAAAATTGTAAACTTTAAATTAATTAATAATAATGATAATAATAATAACATAATTTCAAGACTCAAGGCAGTAATATAAAACACTTAACATAGAAGGTCTGGTCGCTTGGTCTTCGTTCATCGTAAGTCGCTATATTTATTTATTTTTTCAAAAAACTCGCCGTTTCAAACTTTCCGAGTATATCGTAAGTCGCTAAAAACTCTCCGGTTTTTAAAAGGGGTAGTCGCAGATCGTTCAGATCGACGAGTCAAACGAGTTACGATCTTAAACGACAATCCGCCGATCCCAGGCCGATTTGCGATCTTGGATACGATCTAACTCGATCCCCCCTATACAGATCGTAGACTCGTATGATCTTACAAGTTGCCTTGCGATCCTAACAACCTTGCGGGGTATATATATTACATATGAAAGTTTGGGGTATTTATCTCACACCCCAATAAAGTTTGGGGTATTTATCTCAGATTAATTTAAGTACTTTTAAGCTACAAGTTCAAAGCTGGGTGGAGGGTGCTTTTAATAGCTTTTTCGTATTTTTGTAAACAATTTAAACTTTAGGGATAGTTATTAGGTTGAATATTTTAATTAAACCCAAAGTACCCTCCCCTTATTCCTGCCTCTCCCGGCCCCGTCATCTTCTTCGTTCCACTATTTCAGCCATTGCTCTTCGTTCGAATCCTTCCCTTTCAGTTACCGTTCTTCTATCACTCCCCAATTCCCCACACCATCTTCCTCTGCTGCTTGCCTTTCGGCTTTCTCCATCCCATCTCGCTGCTACTTCACTTTCTTTGGATAAATTAATTAGATGTAAGCAAACAGGTCACACTTACAACTTGATCATTCATCAGCCCAATAACACACTCCATCCCTTCCATTTTACAAACCTCTCGGAGGATCCATCCCCTTCCTCAATTAATTTGATTGGGTAGGTATGCTTCTGCGTCGCTGACTTGAGCACAGGGGATGCACCCCAATTACATTTAATTTATGTAGGGGGCAATTTTGTGCTTTAACAAATTTTCCATAAAAAATTACTTTTTTATCAAACACTTCAACTTCTACCTTTTAATTAAAATCACTTCTATTTACAAACACTATCTACTTCTACTTTAAATCACTTTTCCAATAATCTCTTAAATAAATCACTTTTAAAAAGCACAAGCAAACGCAAAAACTCCCTAATTTAGATCATAACACAAACATTTAAATCAGATCAGAAAATTTCAAAATTGATTTATTACTTTTTATTATTAATATTGTTGTTGTTGACATTAATATCAATATTTTTATTATTATTAATGTTGTTGTTATTGTTATTATTTATTAATATTGGTATATTATTATTGTTATTATTAGCATTAATATAGGTATGTTACTATTATTATATAAATGGTCTTGGAATTAGCCGCATGACGGTTTATGATCAGGCGGACTGATCATTTCTCTCTGTTAGTTATCTACAGTGTTTTCAATCCCAGGTAGCGGGACGGAGCGGCCAGCCTTGAAAACACTATAGCGGTATAGCGGATAGCGGGATGACCGCTATTCAGACTACTTTTAAGTATAATACATAATTAACTAGAAACATATAATTACATTACATACACATTAGTAAAGTATGATATATGTCATTTAAAGTTGCAAACATCTTAACATTCTTAAATCCTAAATTACTAGGAAATATTACTTAGTTTCGTGAGCAAAACATACGATGCTATTAATGATCGAAACATCTGAATCAAAACATTGAATAAAAAACAATTTCCTGGTTTTTAATAGTGTATCAGTCTACCACTGGAAAGAAACAAAGAGGAGTGTAGCATGTGTAATTCTTGTACAAGATGAAGGAGCACAGGTCGTTCTTGAAAAAGATGGAGCAGAAAAATTTGTTGAAGCAGAGGTCATTGCAGAGTAGAGAGCAGAGAAGACATACGGATTACTTTTTTTATTAAAACATGGAGCCATTTTTAAGAGTTCTACACTTCTGCGTACGTGTACAAGAGTTTTAAGTTGATTACTATTTAGTTTTAAAAGCCTACTTTATCCTGTCCTTCCGCAGTCAAAAAATAAACGCAGAAAACCCCCAGCAGACATTAGATCGCAAGCGGCGCTATAGCATCCGCCTCTACCTGTATAGCGCCCCTGCTATAACGCCCGCGAAGTCCGCTACACCCAAACGCTCCGCTACAGGAGGTCTAGTAGCGCCAGACCACTCCTCCGCTCCGCTCCACCGCTATAGCGCGCGATTAACATCACTGGTTATCTATGATACTTATATACGCATAAATGTACTCTCACACAATTTCATTTATTTTTCTCATAAGAACGAAATAAATCAACCAGAAGAGCAACATCTACTCACCTGACCAAGGGAGTGTGAGGCTACCGCTCACACGACTAACTTTTCTTCGCCTAGACTAGGAAGAGCAATATTTGCTCTCATCACGCCACTATAGCTGCTATGGACCTGAGCCCCAGCTTGAAAAAACAGTTCCACAACTGCGGGCAGCTTTCCGTAGTACCTCTTCAAAGCATCAACTAGAGGAAGAGGGGAAGATGGATCTAGAACATGCCACACGTAGACCGGGGGAACAAGGTCATCTATGGTTGCCTCTTGCCAAGCATGTTGCCCGTCTCTCATTTGATGCTTGAAGGCTTGACACTGCCTCACCCTATGACCCTTCGGTCCCACTTGAACTTCAGGACAATACTTCTGCATTAGCTGTATGGCTCCCATTCGTGTGTCCTCCCACACTTCCATTCCTCTCTCTGCACAGAAAATTTGAATTATTAGCTTAAAACTGGCTTATGTGTTAAAACTCACTTCAGACTAACCATTGTCTGCAGACTTCAAGGGCCATTTGGTAGGGCACGTATTCGGCTTATCCGCCAAATTATTTACCAAAGGTTAAAAGCTTGTTTGGTTAGACTTAAAATGGATGTTACGGAATTCACCGAAACTACTGATGTTATTATTGTTGAAATGACTGATTTGGTTGTACCTGCTGATTTATTAAAAAATGAAAATATATAGTTAAATGAACTAAAGAAAATAATTTCTTAAGTAAAGCTAGAAGTACCCATGACTCTGATATCATGGATCGATTCATGTTAACCGACCCCCAAATTGTTTGGAAATAAGGCTTGGATGTTGTTGTTGTAAAGCTAGAAGTTCCTATTTGACAAATTTAGCAATTTCACCCACAAAATAACTTATGCACTAATTTATCTCATTGGTATGACGACTGCTGATAATAAGAATCTCCAGCCAAAAACAAAAGCCTGTCAAATGTATTCTAACTTATTTTGCACTGAAATCAATGAAAACGACAATTTGACCTCCAATTTACGATGCTATTTTGTTTAACTTATTAAAAGATAAAGATATAGGTTGAATAAGTATAAAAAATATATCAGCATATTCACTCAATTTAATTAGACTTTAGCAACCTGTCTCCGATAAACACCAGTAGATTGCCGAAGAAATCATATAATGCCTAGGAGCGAGGGGGGAGCAATTTGAGGATATTAAAAAAATTGAAAAAATAGTATTTGAAGAATACAATACCTGTGATATCATCGGGAGGCAAACCCAAAGTTTTCTCATTTGATGTTATTAATCTCTTAGTGGTTCCCCAAAAACCAGATGTCTGGATGTGGTTTCGAGAGATGGCACTGGCCGGCTTGTGGGTGATGATGGGCTAGAGATCGAACGAATTAAATGGAGATCAGATTTATACTCAATTTTTACTCGTAATTAACAAGAAGGTGAAGGAATTATCATTGAGGAAACAAATGCAGTTAGCTCTACCTGCGATCATTTGACATTTAGGAAGTGTTTTAGTTTGTTGTTAAAGTCACAATTATCTATTTTACTTATCTATTTTGGTGCGTCTATTTTACTTCGCTGACAAGTGTCTGGCGTATGCATATTTTACTTATCTATTTTGATCTGATTCAGCCTATTCTATTTAAATTTAATCTGATTTGATCTAGTTTTTTTAAAAAATTTGGTCTCGTCTAGCTTATAACTGAGAACATTCCAAACAAAATATCGTAAATGTTTCCGTGTTTCAAGAACTATTGCTAACTGAAATCCCGCCAATTATATATTATTATTATTATTGTTGTTGTTGTTATAATAATAATAATAATAATAATAATAATTATTATTATTATTATTATTGTTATTATTATTATTGTTATTATTATTATTGTTATTATTAGAAAAAATTCTATTTTTGGTCCCCTGAATATTATGTCACTTCCACATTTCTCCCTTGACTTTCAATTTAATCACATTTAGTCTGTGATATTTTCCCCTTCAACATTCGTCGTCCTTTTGACCAAACTCTGGTACATTTTAACCGCAAAGCCACTTACAGAAAAATAATAGATCAAAATGTTAAAATTAAGTTATCAAAATGTACGCATTAAGTCAAGTTAATTTAGAATGTAGCCGTTTTAACAACATACATTTACTAAAACACCCCTAATATTTCTACGTAAATGACTTTCCGGTTAAGACATCTAGGTTACGGGAATACCGTTGGTGTTCGATCGAGAGGAAGTTGCTTTTCAATGGATGGAGGTTAATTCTAAAGGTAGGGATCGCCAATTCCGCTTTTCTTAGCGAGGAAAACGCCTCTCTCATGATAAAAACTTTTGACACGCCTCATATGTTACTACTCCATATATACTACGTTCCTTCTCTTTTAATTGCAACATTGAATTTTTTGCACTATTCACATATTTTACTTTGATTATAATTTATTTATTAATGTACTATTGATTAATTTTTTGAAAAATAATTTTTGAATTCCTCTCATTTTAAAATATCAAAATACAATTTTTTATTTTTTTTATTGATAAGGAACGAAAGTAATTGACGATTAAACTTGTATGTTGACAAACGTGAAAATTGGAATATTATAATAAAAAAAGAATACAAAGTAGCTCACAAAGGAAGGTGAAAAATCTGACCCAACTTCCCGCCAAAAGATACGGGTGGAGAATAGCTTAAAACGGGTCAACCCAGTCAAAGTAATCATGCTATGCTACGTGAATCTCGAAAAAGTTTGTCATGTGACTTCTGTATTGTGAAAAGCCTTCTGAAAAGAGAAAAAATGAATACGAAGTACAGGACTAGAGCAGTAGCCAGTAGGAGAGTGGCCGGACTTCTGAATAGGGAAGCTTGGTAATACTCCGTATTTAATAAGCTGAACTTCATACCTTCCCATACTTCTATCAGTACGTTTAAAAGCGTAAAGGAGAGAGAGAATTAGAGAGACATTGCGATTGGCAGTGGATGGCCTCAGGCTGTGGAACAGGGCAGTAGGCGAGTGGCCCGCCCGCCGGAGCAGGAGTATTGGGCTGTGAGCGATGCCGCCGACTCGGCTGGGGCGCTTGGGAGAGTAGGTTTGCTGCCGGCAGACGCAGGCGGCAGTCCATGAGGCGAGTGGGGGACTGGCCGACTACGTGTTTCTGGATCTGGCTCTGCAACTTGCGGATTTCCAGAAGAAGAAGACTGGTTTCTCCTGATTTTGGGACTTTATTATGTATTTGCGTAAGGCCAGGTTCATCTACCGGAAGCTCCAAAATCAACCAAACGTGTAGTAATTCAGATCTGAGGAAGCCGAGTCGACATTTCTGGATCAACTCTTCGACTTCCTGTCTTATGGGATCCAAGAACGGCAGAAGTGTGGAACCCGCCGCCAAGTCGTTGACTCCCTTCAGCACGCAGCACGGCATCACCGCCATTTCACCGGGCGCCAGCACCCCTCGTCAGGCATCGCCTTCTCGCCTCAATGTTTACCCTTCCGTAGTTCCGGTATTCTTACAGTCGTTCTTTCGTCATAGACATATAATTAAATTAATGATATTGTTGCTTGTTGAAACCTCATAAAATCCTGATAGGTAACTTACTACTTTCACAATGTTTTTTTTTTTAAAAATAATTATCATAAGATCTACAAAGTTAGCTTTTGATTCATTCACATGCATCACGAGCAGAGCAGGATGCACGACACAGAGAAGAGCAGAACAAGCCACAAGTTTTCTGAGCTCTTCTGGCTAATGAATAAATTTGAGCTTTGAACTGCCAACAAGGATGTTTCCGGCTACGACTAAGGGGTATACGCAATAGCACCACACGTTGGTGACTCCCCACAAACTTTTCAGTGAAGGAGAAAAAAAATAGTTCAACAAGTATTTGAATCCCAATCTCTCAAATTTCACATATACTCATGAGATTTGATAACAGGGTTCGGCAGTGTATTTTGCTTGTGAAATCCTATCAAATCCTAATCTATAAAACAATCCAGAGTTTTGTTCAAGTGTTAAATACACCAGGACTCTCCAAATTTCCTAATTGAATACCTCAAGACTTTTAAAGTATTTAGAAATTAGGACTAAAACTATGGCAAAAACTCAAAATAGGACTTAGCTATGTTTTTTATTCCAAAATAGGACCATAGTGGTCCTATTTGAAACATACTCATTTCTTCCTTCCATTCTTACCCCTCCTTTATTTAGTAAAAGATAGCTAAAAGTCATAATTAAATGTTTAATTCATAATAAATTCGAAAAAAATTCAATAATTCGTAGAAAAATAAAAAAAAAATTAAATTTTTTTTTATAAAATCAAAATAAGAAAAAAAATGTTTTTTTTTGTTTTTTTTTGAAAATTAATAAAAAATAGTAAAACTCCATAAAAAATTAAAAAAAATATGGATACCTTTCCCACCGCCTGTATTACCTCCCTGAACCACCACCTCCGATCGGTGTAAAAAATGCCACTTTTTTTTTTTAAATTCCACAAAAATGGCATATTTCTCAATGAGAATGCCAACATTTTCATTCTGCCAACTTGAATCCTTTTGACTTTTGCCAAAAATATGGCATTCATAATTTTTTTGGCATTTTTTTTACCCCGGTGACAGGAGGTGGTGGTACCGCCTCCCTGCACCACCACCTCCGATCGGTGTAAAAAATGCCACTTTTTTTTTTAAATTCCACAAAAATGGCATATTTCTCAATGAGAATGCCAACATTTTCATTCTGCCAACTTGAATCCTTTTGACTTTTGCCAAAAATATGGCATTCATAATTTTTTTGGCATTTTTTTTACCCCGGTGACAGGAGGTGGTGGTACCGCCTCCCTGCACCACCACCTCCGACCTATAAAAAAATGCCATATTTCCTACAAACTTCCATTTTTTCCGGAAAATGCCAAAAATATGGCATATTTCTCTTTGAGAACTGCCAGCATTTTTTTTCTTCCATCTTAAATCATTCTCAATTATGCCAAAAATATGGAATTCATAATAAATTTGGCATTTTTTCCCCAAATGACTAGAGGTGGTGGTGCTGGGGTGGCAGAGGCGGCGGTGACAAAAAATTTTTTTTATTTTTTTTTTTGATATTTTTTTAATTTTTTTTTATTTTTTTTTATTTTTTTTTTAATTTATTATTATTCAAAATATTTTTATTAATTTTTTGGTATATTTTACGAATTTTTATTATTTTTTATTATTTTATTATAAATTAAAACATTCCAATAGGTATAAGGATATATTTGTCCAAGACACACATAATTAGTCCTACGGAAACATAGTTTATTTTTTGGTCCTATTTGTGCAAAGTGAATGACTTTTAGTCCTATTTTGATAATTAACTCTAAAATATTTTATAGAAAAGTGTCAAATAAGACATTCTACTATTATGAAATCGTCACATAAGACCATATACTCAATAAAGTGTTATATAAATACATCTACTTATAAAAAGCAATCGGCCGTGTCCTAATGATCCATTGACAACCTCTTAATCACGACTTTAGCTCACATGTCGTTATTTTTATCTTGTATTTAAGTCAATCATAACTAAATATTCCACGTTAATCATATAATCTATTTTAAAAAGATAGCCACACATACACTAAAATTGGAATTACAAGGTTGTCAAAAAGTCATTTTGACTCATTCGATTGTTTTTTATAAATAGACGTATTTATATGACATTTTATTTAGTGCAAGATACGATTTCATAATAGCAGAAGGTCTTAATTGACCCTTTTCTCAATATTTTAAAATGCTTCAATTAAATACACCCGAAAATCCTAAAATGTCTTTAAAATTCCAAAAGAATAGACAGCCCTAATACTACAATATATATAGTTTGCGCTTTTTTGGTCCGAGCTATGAAGTAATGTGCTTGACTTCCATATAGGGGATTTCTATATACAGTCCCCAAATTACTAAACACAACCACTCAATTAAATAGAATTAAATAATAACTATTGAATATCTAAATTACCCTTACTACTAGTTAACGATCGTTTAAACTAGACACGCAGGAAAACTCATGTTCGTCACTACCACAGATCGGAAAAAACGCAGAAAAACCCCTAGGAAGGCGCAGGGCGCTCAATGTGCAAATTGGGAAGCTCAAGCATGAAGAACTGAAGGTAACAACAGAAAGAAATCCAGCAATTTATACCCTTCTTCCGTTACACGTGAGACCAATTCAATAGGTTTTCAACATCTTCATTTAGATTATTGCATAGAAATCGGAGAACAATCGCTCAATGATGTGCATATGCCAAAACTGTGCTATCTTAAGAACACTTCTGGTAGATCATTCTGCCATTGAAAAGAAACAAATATATATTGAATTACGCACCAGGTTGTGTTGTAATTGCTAAAAGAAACAAATATATATTGAATAAAACATAAAACTATGGTAATAGGGGGAAAACCGCCAAAACTGATATGATATAGATATACATATTACAGTGTATTTATAATTTGTATTATGTTTAATTAGGCTACACTTGAGACCATGCGGTTTGAATCATTTAGGAACACATTAAAATATGAAAACTCAGGCCATCGCATTAAAATATGAACACACATGTATAATGAATAAGGAAAACATAAAGTAGTGTGTTGATTTATGAGTCACTTTTCAAAGCACATATCAAGTAGCATATTTTAGGCCAAGAGAAAAACTACAATATCATTTCAAACCGTCCATTTTTTCTTTACTAGTATATGTACCCGTGCACTGCACGGCAAAATATGCACTTAAAGTTTTTATAAAAATTGTAAGTGAAATGAATTGTATGTGAATTCATCAATCACGGTTTAAAAGAAAATTCACTCAACTGTGGATAGAGCTGTCGAAAGGAGTCAAAGTCTCCAGGCTAGCTTGGTCTATTGCATCCCATTTCAAAGTGGGTAAGAGTTGTCGTTTTTTATCCAATGAAGTGACCGGTTTCGTGGGTCAATTCGCACGGGTTGCATGTTAAGTGAGTAACACAAATTATAAACATCTATTTTTTTTTTTTACTTTTTTTGTCTTCAATATTGATGGTTTACTACCATAATTATTTTGAAATATACTTGTTATTTTACAACCCTTGTTGAACTATTATTTCTATATTATAATAATTATTCAAATGTTTACTCAAAAGATGTAAATTGCGTCATTTCTACACTGAGTGTTTCTTTATAGATACTCCTTCCGTCCCGCTGAGATTCTCTTATCTTTTCCTTTCGATCCGTCCCTCTAACACTTTCTCATACGAAGTACAAAATTAACTAAAGTTTGTGTGGTATTAAATCATTCTTTCTTAATTTTTATTTCAGCAATTCAACGCCAACCACATAAACTCATTTTTCTTAATAATCGTGTCATCACCTCATGTCACAATCTTAGTGGGACGGAGGTAGTACAATATAATAGTTATAAAATTTCAGTATACCAATGATTTAAATACATATGTATATAATATTGGAGTACATAAAAGTAGAGTTTTGGAAGTTGAATAGTTTTTTCTTGAATTTATTGTTTTGCCACATGTCACTTTTTCATACAAAGACTATTGACACATGTCAATAATTCCTCTAAAGAGTTCCTCAAGGGTTTGCTTTATTATATTATATAGATTTGACTCATTATAATTGAGGTTGTGATCATAAACCTATCCTACTTTTCTGATGAGTCTTCGTACTCTGAACTCTGAAGCATTCAAGTTGGCATTGAAAGAGAACGATATATCGTCTTGGTGGGAGCTGCCCTTTGTTGACCATGTTAGCCGAAGGCTTTACGAAATTGTTAATGTTCCATATGAAGATGATGTAATCATTTGGGCCGGTGGAGGGCGTTCTGGTGAGCTAAGTGGACGGGCTCTTATGGAGTGGAGGGGCTCAAGGAACTTATATCCTGTCACAAGAAAGGTAACCTATCCTGTCACACACTCACACCACCTCCACCACCACTCCCACTAGACCCACCATCACCACCACTCCTAGTCCCACTAGCCCCACCCTCACCGGCACCACCACTCCCACTCCCACTAGTGGTACCACACCTGCCCGAATGAAAAAAACTAAAATTTCCCCCTTTGAAGGAAAGTCCTCTACGCCTTCTCCTTTTATCCACTTATGGTTTTTACTACAAATTTCGCGAGTTATAAAATCAAATTTTATTAAAATCTCTTTTAAAACTAGTTCCCTGTCACTCTTCTTCCTCTTATTAGCCTTTCGCCTCATTCTCTTCTTCTTCTTCTTCCTTTTTCTCATGTCTTTTATCGTTTCTTCCACATGATTTTCCCTCTTTTTTTTCCTCTTTCTCTTCTCCCCCACCCTTAAAATGGGATTCACAGTAGCCCCGAACACCTTCTTAAAATATTTGCTTAAAATGAGATGGACAGAGGAAGCTTGAATACCCACAAAATCAGGAATTTTTTTAGAAGCAGTAGGATTGTGGTTTTTGCATTTCCTTTGGAGGTATTTTAGTATACCTCCCACCCACTTTATGAAACAGGTCTAAAGCTGTTTAAAAAAATGTTATGGGCTGATAGTGCGTGAAAACTATATGGTTTCGAAAATTCCTAGAAAGTATATCTGACATTTGTTTCTTCTCGATCTTTCTATGAGGCAAGTATTTAAAAGTTCACTACGGAGATCTACAGGTAAGGCGGATACTTTGAACATGATGTTTATCCATGTTTAAGTATTCTCAAAGATGTTTATCCTGTAGATCTCCGTAGATCTCCGTAGTGAACTTTTTAAATACTTGCCTCATAGAAAGATCGAGAAGAAACAAATGTCAGATATACTTTTTAGGAATTTTTGAAACCATATAGTTTTCACCCACTATCAGCCCATAACATTTTTTTAAACAGCTTTAAACCTGTTTCCTAAAGTGGGTGGGGAGGGTATACTAAAATACCTCCAAAGGAAATGCAAAAACCACAATCCTACTGCTTCTAAAAAATTTTCTGATTTTGTGGGTATTCAAGCTTCCTCTGTCCATCTTATTTTAAGCAAATATTTTAAGAAAGTGCTCGGGACTATTGTGAATCCCATTCTAAGGGTGGGGGGAGAAGAGAAAAAAGAAAATAAGAGGGAGGATCATGTGGAAGACATGAGAAAAAGGAAGGAGAAGAGAATGAGGCGAAAGGCTAATAAGAGGAAGAAAAGTGACGGGGAACTAGTTTTAAAAGAGATTTTAATAAAATTTGATTTTATAACTCGCGAAATTTGTAGTGAAAACCATAAGTGGATAAAAGGAGAAGGCGTAGACGACTTTCCTTCAAAGGGGGAAATTTTATTTTTTTTTTCATTCGGGCAGGTGTGGTACCACTAGTGGGAGTGGTGGTGAGGGTGGTGCTAGTAGGAGTGGTGGTGATGGTGGGGCTAGTGGTGATGGTGGGGCTAGTGGGAGTGGTTGTGGAGGTGGTGTGAGCAGGAATAGAAGTGGTGAGGGTGGCAGAGGTTGGAGGGGCAGAGGCAGTTGGAAGGGGTTATGGTCATAGTAGGGGGCGAAGGTTGCGGAGGCTAGATGGGCAGTATGGAGCTCCTTTTAGGGAGGAGGATTGGGCTGATGATGAATTTGTGAAATTCACTAGTAAGTTTGACATAGTGCCTGGTGATCACAATGTGGACGAAGTTCCTCCTGCAGATAGCTGTAGAAACGCGCAGGTAGATCTCTCATTGGTTGATGTTGAGGAGCTTTTGAACAACACAGTTGATGATCAGGCACCATTGCCAGTAAATCTTGATGGCTTTCAACTGGCACTAACTCAGGTGCGATTTTACATTCAGTTTCGTCTTGCTTTTGTGCTAATTTCGCAGAGGCTGCTAGTTTGTTACATTAATGCCACCTATTTTGAATAAGCAGAAAGATGTGGATTTTAGTTTTCTCAAGTTATTACTTCTGTTTTTAAATATATACAAATCTTTAGCTTCATAATGACCGATTTTTTTTGTGTTATTTTAATTTCAGTTTCTTGGAGAAGAAGAGACTCGTAGCACTGTTGTTAATGGATCGATTGAGGATCTGGTATATTCTGAGCCTTTAATGATGTATTATCCAGGCTCTCAACAAGACAAGTTGGATTCAAGCTTTATTGCTGAGCAGTCGTGGGGTGCAACTGAGGCAGCTTCTATTGTACGGTCTGAATTCACTCGGTATCCAGAGCTCTTAGATCTTCAGTTTACCGATGAAGATATTCTTGAGATGGATGATCTTCTTGGCACAGGGCCTGTGCAGTTTCCCCAGCTGAGAGAGCATGATGAGTTTGATATGTTTAATGACTCTGACCTCTTCCTTGGTGATTTTACATCTAATAATCAAATTGTAAATCCATCTCAGCATCAAAGGCCGCTGGAAAATGGTTTTGTTGGCCAATCCCCAAATTCTGTCCCTACTTCTGGGAATGAGATGTGGAACTTCGGAGCAAATAATTGTATTCACAACTCCACAGAGGGATACAAAGGAACTATGCCTTTACCAGTGACAGGTACATACTTGCAGTTTCAATGCTGATTCTTCTGCAGTTCTGCCTGCCCATGTGTGGAGCTTTATATTTTTCTGAGCGGCATTATTTCATCATATATATCAGTGAGTTGGATAGTTCTGATATGCTGAATACAGATGAACTAATCTCCAAACTGGATACAGTATTTTTTGTTTTCTGTATTTGTGCATGTAAGTTTTTTTCACCATTCTAAATGTATTAATCCAGACTAATGGGTATGTTGTGTTTGACTTGGAGAAGGCAGCTTGTCCTTGGAAGGCTTTCCAACTCATTGAATTTGATGTTTTTGCTAACATTAGATTTTCTGGGATGTTCAGGTGCTGAGTATGCTGGTGTTTCTACAAATATCGCTTCCAAACATACCAGAATCAGAAGAGCAAACAGAATGAAGGGTCTCAAACATGGTTGGCTTTCACATTATGATCGTTTGTGGAAGCGGTACCTGCAGCCCCTCCATCAGCCGCTGAGAGCGTGATGGTTAAACCGAGGATGTCTAGTTTCAGTAGGGTAAGAATTGATTTAAAAAAGAATTGATTTTTTCAGTAGGTGAGTTTTAAAGCCCTGCACCTGTTTATTGACATGAATTGTCTATGTTTTTCTAGTGTTAATAGAGTTTTAGTATTTAGCTTCTCTTCATTTGCACGTGTTGTTTTCAATAGTGGGTTATTAGCTCGGTTTAATTTAAAGTTTTCTTCGTTGGTGAGAAGTTCCAGGCAAAGAAGTTATTAGAACAGTAATTACCTTTTCTAGACTTCTTGTATGGGTTCTTTGAGCTCAGAAGTCAATTTGACAGCTTTCTCATAATAATGGCCTTAAATAGGAAAAAAATATATGGAGTATAACTAAGAGAGTCAATTCCTAATTTATTGTTTTATATAGTAAAATCGAGTTATGTTTTGATGATGTGTCATTCTCTCATCGGTTAATAAAATAATATTTAACATCATTTTAATTGATTATTACGAAGTATTTATTTAATAATCCATCCGTCAGAGGAAAACAAAACTGTTCATTTGTTGTGGATTTGTGGGACTCTTAAGCAAGCAATCCGTTCGTTCGTTAAGCTTAATCAATTGGAATTGGTTTTGACGTCATCCATTTGGCAAAAATCATCCATATCGAACTATTTTATTAGAATTCGTTTTATTGGAATCGAGAGTGAATAAAAAGAATTCGAGAATTTTAAAATGAGACACTTAACTCATTGCCCGACATATGACACTTTTGTAACTTTTGTTAAAGGATGTTTTTATTAGGATGTTTTTATGGATTATTCTCAGTCTCAGACCAGATTAGACTTAAATAGACAAGATCAGACTAGACTAGTTCAGACCAGACTTTTGTATTTGCAAAATACACAGAGATCAGACTTTTATCAGACCAAATTAGACCAGATCAGTGAATATCAGTCTGAGTAAAAACATCCTTTAAATGAATAATCATTAATGAATAATCATTTTATAGGAGTATTTTCACGGGAAAAAACACGCTTCCTTAAATTGACTCTCAAAAGTCTAAACTCCGTTCTATGTCGCTATGTGGACCTAATATTACACTCCATATCCTTGTTTAACTATTAAGTATTAACACTTCCCTATACTCAGTCATGTACACACAGCTCATCAATAATCAATTTACAACTCAAAATAATGAACTTGAGAACTTCCCAGAATAACTCAAATGACTACCTAGCATCTTTGCACTTCCTCAAATCTATTAAGAGTAGTAATAAAATCAAGGGGGGATTTGTAATAAAATAATCAATTTGACTTTTTGGGTGACTTTGTTAGTAATATACGGTTCGTGAATAATACAATAATACGTACGTTCGTGTATAATATGATACAATTATATAAAATACGACTTAATATATGTTTCATACGTTCGTGAAATATATAAAGATACCGACGTATTTTAAACGTTTGACAATTTAAAAATACGACATATAATGTATGTCTTATATACTAATTTAATGATAGCAATAATGAGGTATTTAACATTTCCACCACATTCTTCATCAATTTAAAATGTACGGAATAGTTTTTTCAAATATACGGATTTGAATGCATAGGTATAATAAGTAATAAAAATGACATTGCCTATATGAGTAGAAGTAGAGAGATATTACTAGAGAATAGTTGATATTACTGTGACTGTGAGTTTGGTGAGCCGCCACAACATTTTTTGATCTCTTTGGAATCTTGGTATGGGTAGAGAACAAAAGTAATACAATAGTAGTACAATAATAATATCGAAACAGATTACGAATTTAAGAAGCTAGTTTACTACATGTAATGACTATTAAACCATTAACGAATATATAAGGCACAAAGTTTTTTTAAGCAATATAAATAATATTGAGCAACTAGACATTTCGTTTCAATTGTATCACTCCATTGGGCTTTTGTTTAATGGTGTGTGTTTTTGAATAAAATACGTATCAATACATACAGTACGCGTGTTATACATTTTATCCTTAAAGTACATGAGTTTTTCATAAGTTTCTGAAAAATTCATAAACGGGAGTATTATTCGTGAATAAAATACGTATCAATACGTACGGTACGTGTATTATACATTTTATCCTTAAAGTACGTGAATTTTTCAGAATTTTTTGAAAAATTCATAAACGGGAGTATTATACGTGAATTATACATTTGAGTGTATTATACGCGAATAAACTAACAGAGTTGGGTGATATTGGACTTTGCAACCCATTTTCAAATTTTTTTGACTTTGCACCCCTAACACATGCCATTTTGTAAAGAAACATTTCTAAATGGGGGCAAAGTCAAAAGAATTTTAAATGAAATAGGTGCAAAATCAAAATTTTTTCAAAATGGGGTGCAAAATCCAATATCACCCAAAAAATGTGGTGCAAAGTCAAATTCTAGTTCAGGTTTTAGTGTACAATTATGGTGGTTTTAATTGGGTTGGTTTTAATTCCAAATCAGATCAGACCAAATCAAACTTTGACAATCGTAAACCACACATAAAATAGACATCTACCTAAACAGACTAAACCATCTTAAACCAAATAAGACTAGACTTAAACATGTTAGATATTCTGACCACACCAATTTTTTTAGTCATATTAAAAACATTCTTAGTATCAGGTTGGATTCAATCTACATCTTTACTCCACACCAAAATGACGTTAGAAAGATCGAAGAATTTCCCAATCAAACGTAACATCATTGTGATTACCGTTCATGTGACTCATGTCTCACACTGAAACAAGTTTATTTTTTATTGAGAACATCCTAATGAAAAACATAGTTCATCATTACGTGCAAGATTTATCACTTCTTATTATGATAGTATCCGTCATTCCGTCAACAGTCCCAACGCTAACTGAAAGTCTGAAATAAGTTTATTTTGTATGAGCTACTTTAGTAATTTTTTTAAAATTCTAATAAATTGTTTTTAACTTCATTGCTTGCTTTATAACGAAATCGATTACTTTTTTCTTCCGGGTGCATTGATTTTATTTTAATTTATTACTCATTACTAATTAAATTTTAAAAATGTACTTTTGGTATTATTATTATTGTTATTATTTTATTGTTATCATATTCCAATAAAATAGTTATAAAAATAGTAGAGAAAATTAGTTGGTAAAATTGGTTATTCATGCATGAGCTATTAGGCTATTATATGTCGTATTTGTAGTAATTTTCAGAGTAAAAAGTAGCAATGAGTCGATTTTCTTCTTTTTTTGCGGGCGGGGGGGGGGGGATGGTACAATACAACAATAAAATTCATGTATAAAAGTCTTTCAAAATGATTAATTTCGTTTTACAGCTTTTTTTTATTGTATTTCATTTTACAGCTTATGAGTCGTACTTCACATATCCACATTATCATTAACTAGAATTTTCACCAGTGCTTCGCACGTAGGGCTGAACTCGGGCCGGTCGGACCAAACCGGAACCGGCCCGGACCGGTACTGTTTGTACCCGGTCTGGCCCGGAAACCGGTTTGGCTGTCGCCTGTCGGTTCGGGCCTACCCAACCCGGTAGGCAGGCGGTCCGAGCCCGGCCTAGGCCTAACGGCTCTTTTTTTTAAAAAAAAATTAATAAAGGAAAGGTTCCTAGCCGTTGGGAATAATCCCAAACGGCTCTATAGCCGTTGGAGGGCTAGGAGGGGGGGGTCCTGAGGGTTTTGGGTGTGGGATACCGAAAAATCCTATTTATACTCCTATTTTCTATACATTTTTGACACCATATTGGCATATTCATACAATCCTACTCTCTAATTCTCTATTCTCTCATACTCAATAACTCAATCATCTCCATCTTCATCTTCTCCGAATCTCTCTACATATATATATATATATATATATATATAGGGGTGAGATCCCATGCAAACCAAGCTTCCCGTGCTAACCTACAAACCAACAACACCCGCTGGATTAAATCATGCGCGCGGACGGCTGGTGATTATCGAAAGGCGCTGCACTCAGCCGTATGAGAAAAAAACGGATAACACCGTTTTATAGCTTTAGGCATTTAAAAGGTCACAAATGTAATTTGAAAAAAAAAAGATATCCCACTAACTGATTTGAACGGTGCTATACTTCCCACTAAACAACTAACAATCCAAATATATGCAAATTATATCATGTAAGTGGCAGACAAGGTAACCCCATGATAATATGATATGATTGAAGTTAATCATGAATTGAAAAGTAATTTACCTTTTTGTAATTAATAATTTCTATGAATCAGTCGGTTCTTAATAAACCTCTATTTTCGAAACTTAGCTCCTATTATCGAATGAAAAAGTTAATATTTTAACACAAGTAGAAATTTAATATATGTGAGCAGTGCATATTAAGATTAGAGAATATGCATTATACAACACTTTATATTAAAATTACGAGATGTGCATCTTATATTCGTAATGTGTGCATCAATTATTTTAGAAACTCATATTGATAAAATATGTCGATGTTGTGTTTTATAAGTTCATCATTGCATTTTTAGTAAGATGACAAGTGCATATGAGAAGTAAACATACGTGTGAACTGCATATTAAGGTTGTGAGATGTGCATTGTATAAGTATAACGTGTGCATATGATAATATTTTACTTAAAGTGCATATTAAGGTTATGTGATATGCATATTAAGGATGGTGAGCTATTGATTGCATCTTATCGTTATGACAGGTGCATTTTTAGTTCACGTGTTGCATTTTATTATTATGACATGTGCGTTTTGGAAGTTCGTATATTGCACTTTAGTAAGATGCATAATTTATATTAACTTTTAACATATTAAATTTGTAAGAAGTGATGAACAATGTAAAAGTGTCTGCATATTAAAGTTACAGAACGTGCATAGTAAGATTAATGGATGTGCATATTATGGCTACGAGATATGCATTATATATTTATAATATCTTCATAACTTTTATTAGAACTATAAAGTGATAAACATGTCAACGCATCATTATAGTAGTCCATATCTTGCATTTTATCATTATAACACGGGGATTTTAGAAGTTTGTGTATTGCACTCAATTAGAAAGTTATGTACACTTTAAAAGTTCATACTGCATCTTAACGCTATGACATCTGCATTATTTTAGGAGCTCATATGTTGTAATTTAATGTCATTATGACTTATGTATTTTAGAAGTTATATATTGAATTTGGTCAGATGAACTCCCATTTTCACTTTAGAAGTTACTGC